GAGCAGGGAGCCCGATGTGGGGCTCAATCCCAGGACCCTGGGATCATGACCTGAGCCGAAGGCAGACGTGCTTAACCGACTGAGCCACCCAGGCGCCCCTTAACATTAGCTTCTTAAGAGCAGAGGCATTGTATCACTAGTTTTATAATTATCCCAGCATCTCCTATCATCCCACCTCAGTTCCAGCCTGGTACATATAACAGGTTCTTGGTGAATAAATCCTCATTTTTAAAGTTTTAAATTAACCTTGGGACACCTGTGTGGCTCAGTTAGTTAAACGTCCAACTCTTGACTTCAGCTCAGGTCATGATCTTAGGGTCATGAGATCAAGTCCTGCCTTGGCCTCCGTGCTGGGTGTGGAGCCTGCTTAAGATTCTCTCTCTCTCTCCCTCTGCCCCTCCCCCCATTTTGTTCCCTTTCTCTCTCTCTTAAAAAATTATAAAGTATATATTAACTTTGTTATGCTTTTGCAAGTTTTTTTTATTACTTCAGAATTCTTCCATTATGACTCCAGGGAGAAAAAAAGTCATTAATTTATTTAAAAATTATAACTAAAAAGCCTACATGGGCTGTAATGACTATAAAATAGGTAGGCATACAATAAAAAGCAAACTATTTTTTTTTTGAAGATTTTATTTATTTATTTGACAGAAAGACACAGCGAGAGAGGGAACACAAGCAGGAGGAGTGGGAGAGGGAGAAGCAGACTTCCCACTGAGCAGGGAGCCCGATGCGGGGCTCGAGCCCAGGGCCCTGGGATCAAGACCTGAGCCGAAGGCAGGCGCTTAACGACTGAGCCACCCAGGCGCCCCAAAAGCAAACTGTTTTTAAAAAGAACTAAAACTACATCCCTAAAATACAGAATATTCTTTCTGACTAGAATGTAAAGATCAATGTAAGATCCTTGCTATCTACTTCATGTCTAACATTGGTTGCAAAATTCCTGAACTTGGAGAGGATATAAACAATTAGATTTTCAAAGGAGTATCCCAGAAAAATTTCTGTGCAAGTAGGAACAACCTTTGGAGGTATAGATTACAGGCTCTTTAACAAGATGTGAATTACTCATATGTTGGTATACATTGGGTAGTCCCTAGAACTTTTTTTTTTCTTAATGAAGGGAATTAGAAGTGGAAGGTGTTCTAGGAATAATTTCTACTTATACAAACTAGTGATTTTTTCTGGTCCCTGGCTAACTTGAGAAGTTTCTGTGAGCTTTGCAAAGACTCTGAAAAGGAAATTTCTGATAATATATTCTAAAGCCTTATTACTTTTCAGAAGCATAAATGAAAGAGAGAGAAAAAAAGGATCTGAGAATTAATATAGCACTGGGGTAAAGAGCAGAGGCTTTGAAGAGTGATGGAATTGGATTTGAATCCTGTCACTGCTACTTACTTAGTAGTTAGTTCTATAACCTTGGGTAAGTTACTTCATATCTCTAAATCTGTTATATGTGTAATGGGGGTAAAAATAACTCAAGAGTTTTATGAGGATTAAATGGAATCATGCCTGTAAATTACTTGGCAGAGTGAGTCACTGTTGTTGCACAGTAAATGTTAGATACTATTACTGTGATGATATCCTAGGGCCAGACATTAAAAATTCATCCATAGATCCTTAGAATCCATTATGACATGTTTGACATGCCATGTGTGGTTGTTATACTCAAAATTAGTATATGCATAGGTGGATTTGTGAGTGACTAATGAGTCAGTAGAATTAAGAATTCTACTTTTAGTTTTCCAGTAGGAACTCAAGTGCAACCAGCAAACCAGAAAAAATAGGTCTAGGTTGAAGTTGGAGTTTACTTCTGCATAGGCAGTTTTTCTATCAGGAGATAGGATTTTACTCATTTACGGAGCAACTACTAAATGCCAGTTGTATTAGATTCCTTTAAAAGGTATGTTATTTGGGGCATCTGGGTAGCTCAGTCAGTTAAGTGTCCAACTCTTGGTTTCAGCTCGGGTCATGAGATCGGCCCCATGTTAAGCCCCCCACAGAGTGTGGAGCCTGCTTAAGATTCTCTCCCTCTCCCCGCTCCCCCTTACTTCTCCCCCCCTCCCCACGCACATGTGCTCTCTCTCTCTAAAAACAAAAAATGAAAGAAAGAAAAATCATATTTTGTTCAGTTGCTATAATCCAAGGCAGAAAGAATTTAAATAATTTGAATTTGCCCAAATCCATACTATAACTGTTAGGGATTTGCAGGGTATTATAGGGAAATGGTAGGAACTGTGAGGAATTTGAACTCTACTCTCATTCCGAATCATTTACCTTTGTATTCCTAGCACCCCTCTTTCAACTTGGGGAACTTTAAAAATGATCAGTGCCTATGCCACACTTCAAGCCATTTAAAGCAATTTTAGAAGTGAAACCCAAGCATCGGTATTTTTAGAAGCTGCTTATTATATGGATTGAGAACTACTGATCTGTTCAATGCCATAAGAGAGTAGATGTTCAATAAATGTTTGATTGTTGAAAGAATATATACCTAATGGTGCAGTTGCTCCATTGTAATTCCCATATTATAGTCAACCTAGAGTGCTTTTTTACTAACTTAAGTCTTTCAAAGGGGCTTTGCATTATACTTCGTATATATTCTCAATTTGCCCCCATGGCATATATAGGAAGATACTTGGCAGGAGGTAACATTTTGCTGCTGACAGAATTCTGAATTTCCTCCATTACTGAGGAAAATAGGTATGGAAATAGGGTAAGGCTCAGGGTTCCTTTCTTGTATTTCATCCAAGGTTGAAGACATAGGTTGTAAATAGACATTTACTGGTTATTTTTGTTTTAGAATAATTTTTTAAAAATAATTTGTGGTTCAAAAATCAAAAGATAGAAAGGGATGTACATTGAAAATTGTCCCTCTCATCTCCCAGGCATAGTTCCCCTGCCAGGACAAATGTTACATCAATATTCTTCCAGAGATATCCTAAACATATATAAGCAATTATATTTACACATACTTCCCATTTTTACCCAAAAGTAGTATGGTGCATCGTTTGTTTACTTAACAGTGTATCTATATACAAAGAATATAATCAGCATATAATTGCTTTCATCTTTTTATAACTAAATATTATTTCTCTGTGTACCACAACTTATTTTCATCTATCACCTGTTGATGGATATTTAAGTTGTTTCTAATTTTTCTCTATTATAAACAATGCTACATTAAATAGATAAGTCATTTCACTTCTGCATGAGCATATCTTTGGATAAATTCCTAGAAGTTAAGGCATTGCCAGTTTGCCTTTTATGAAGGTTGTATATTGATGGGTTGGAAATAATAAAAAAAGCATGAAATAATGTGAGGGATTAAAAATATAAAGAAGAAATAGTGACCAAAAATGACTATTGCAGGAATGATATTAAAATGGCTTGAGAGGATAGGAATGAGCCGATAGCCAAGAACAAGGAGAGAGAACTAGTAGGTTTTGTGGTGTATATACACGAGATATATTTGTGATTAAAATATACTAATGAATTTTTTAAAATCCTAACAATTTTACTCTTAAATCTTAACTTGAACTTTTAAAAACACATCTTTAATGTGATGCTTTCTGTATGAAAACTGATCATTCTTTAAGAGATAATACCCTTGGAATTTTCATTTCATATTTACATTTAGCATTTATCGATCAAGATTTTATCTTTTCATGCATAACTATTTTTTACATGAACTCTCTCTCTCTTTTTTTTCCCTTAGCCCTGGAAGAAAGCGAGACTTCTCCCCTGTTTCTTGGAGTCAGTACTTTGAGTCCATGGAGGATGTAGAAGTAGAAAATGAAACTGGCAAGGATATATCCTTTGCAAAATGGTTTATTCTTTAGCAAGCTTATACTGCTGTCTAAGAAGACATATTCAGGTTCTAAAATGTTCTTTAGTCCTGCTGTTTATCTCATTTTTATTCCCCACCTGTATTTGTACAGCATGGAATTTAACCTGTAAGTCTGTGTTAATATCGTACTTGGATATAATTGTCTAATGCATGGGGAAAGGATTAAGAATTAAATTCCTGAAACTGATATATCTCTTAAGGGCCCAGGGGAAGTTTTCATGAATCAGGTGAGTTGAGTCAGTTTAGTGTCTAGAAACCAGGGACCAAATATACTCATTAGGGCAAAGGGAATCTTTTTTTTTGTCCCCATTGAAGAAGTGGTCATACTGGCTCCATGCTTCAAAAACAGGTTTGGTATTTCAGAAACTTTTATTTAAGTGTCTCTTAAGTTTGGAAGTCTGCAACTTTACATAAAGCCTGGTGTACTGCCTGAGTTTTCTAATCAGTATTATTAACTATTAAATAATCAATCAAAAACTTCAGTGAGCAAAAGCTTAGATATATTATCTTTAACTATTCATACACTTTTCGAGTTTACAAGAGTGGTTCAGAGGGTCCTGTCCTACTCCTTCTGCATGGAGGAGGCCATTCTGCCCTTTCCTGGGCTGTGTTCACGGTAAGTAAGTAGTTGATAATAGCGCAATCACTGTTCACTTCTGGATGAATTTGACTAACCTAATTCTTCCTTCTGTGTTCATTCATATAGCTTGATATAAGAACGGTAGGGGTGTGAGTTGATTGTGAATATTTTTCATGTTAGGCCCAAGATCACCTGTTCTTTAAAGTTCTTAACTGGGGTAAGCTTTAGTGCATGAATTCTTCAAACATTTTATAAAATGTTCTATATATATTGCCTTGGGATGAAGGAGATGGGATTTGTTCCTGGTCAAACGTGGGGGTCTGTATCTAAGTAATCTAAGAATAGATAAGCAGAAATATTCTATTCAGGTTCTTTAGGTAGAGATAATGTCTATCCTTTATTTGTCTCCTTCATAGACCCTAGTGTAGTACTTTGCACATGGAGATGTTCCATAATTATTTGGAAAGATTTTTTTCTTTTTTAAAATAATGCTTTATATTTTAATGATACTTGTGAGCTACTGGGAAGTAAACAATATTTAGTTGATGATACCCTTGTCTAGAGTAGAAGATGTATGTCTATGTCAGTGCTTCCAGTTCTAGATCTTCCTGATGTTCTTGACTCTCTGCAAGGAGAGGTGCTGCTAAGGAAAATACTAGCAACATTCCTATTTAAAATGAAATTGTTCTTTCTTCTGGCTTATATCAGGGAGATGTACATACTTCCTCTGTTTACCATTAAGGAGTCTGAGGTACAGAAAATGGGAGCAAGTGGGAATGCAGTACTAGGTAACTGGAGCTAGATGGCTATGGAATTGAGGAGGGCCCTGAACAGACCATTATGTTCCTGGCAGCAGGATTACTGGGAATAGTTCTCAACACATAGGCACTTACTCATCTGTTATTAAATTATTAAATAATTTGATTCCTATCTTGTTTGCTACTTCCTTTCAAAGTAGCAAACTTCAGGACATAGCTGTTTGATTTGCCTCTAAGTGCCAGGCTCTTTCATCTCCCTACACCGGTGTCATCCAATAGAAATATAATGCAAACCATATATGTAGGTTTTTCGCCACATATGTAATTTTAAATCTAGTCGAGACATAAAATAGGTAAAAAGAAACAGGTGAAATTGTTTTTAATAATATATATCTTATTTAACCCATTGTACCCAAAGTATTATCATTTTAATAGATAATCAGTATAAAATTTACTACTGAGATATTTCACTTTATTTTTTATACTGTCTTTGAAATTCAGTATGTATTATAGGCACTTATAACACAGCTCAGTTTGGACTCGCCGCATTTCACATTTAGTAGCATCACTTTGATCATTTACATTACTCAACTAGGTAACTAGATTGTGAGGTGAAGACCATGGGTTAGTTATGCCTGGCACATAATTGTATGCTCAAGGAATGTTTCTTGAATGAATGAGTAACGGCAACACATGCCTGTTCCTAATGTAGCAACTATAGTAGTAAGCATATGTAGTATAGTAGTAAGTAAATGTACTCTGGTTGCCCTGAACCAATAGAACAAGCCATGTAAGCCTTTATTCTCCAAATACAGTCTTCTTATACTTTAAGGTTTCTTTGAAAATTATGTAAAATAATGGACTATGAAAACTGTAAATTTTAAAGTCATGTACAAATATTATAATAAGTGATTTGTTGACATATATTGATATTAAATATTTTTATCTCATAGAAATGATGAAATAACATGGGAAGTGACTGGCATAGAGGAGGTGATTGATAAATAACTGCTGACATTATTATACATGTTATTGTAGAGGAAATCTCTAGTTCTTCTTTTACCAAAGTATAGTCTACAGATTACAAGTGCCATGAGATGTAAATGAAATAGGGGTTTTGTGATTAAATGAGTTTAAGAAATATATAATATCTTTCTCTGATTTCTCTCAGAAATTCACAATATATCACTGTGTTATTAAAGCCTTTAGGATGTTCTTCTAAATAAATCTATTTCATTTCAACTATGTCTTCCAAATGTATTTGACCACTCAATTCCTTTTTTCTAAAACATCCTTTGGCATCCCATACTTTGTGAAAGTCTTTTATAGATAGGTCATTATGTCCCAATTGTTTACCTGGTTTACTTGTATAATCAAGGAAATTCCTTACCACTGAGCTTAATAGCTTGGACTTTTGCTGGTTACATTTACCTGCCCTTTTTTGTTGTTATTCTTGACAGTGTACCAGCCCACTGACTGAGTTTATATGTGACAGTGCTTTGAAAATAAAAATGGCTATGTAAAAGTTAGTGCTCTGGCAATTGACTTGACTCCAGAGGTCATATTTTTGTAAGCACTAGAACATGATCCAGAAGGCAGCCATGGCAAACAGCAGGAATAAGCCCAAGCACCTTATGATCCTGAGAGACAGACTTACCCTCAGACATCCACCCAGATGATAATTGGTACAATACTGTAGTAAAATAGAAACAAAAAGTCACTAGCATAGCAGCGGGACAAGTATACTGACAGCCAAAGGAAGAGATGAACAACTCTGATTGATATTTATGATGCTAGATCATGAGATCCTTGACAGCAGGAACTGTGCCTTATTCACTTTTGATATGACAGCACACAGGGCCTGTCCTGGAGTTGGTGCTCAATAGTTATTCCTTGAATAAGTTAAAACTGACCTTGAACAATTAAAAGGATAAATTTTGTTCATTGTATCCTGTTTGAGAAAGCAGAAAAGATGTAATCATTCTAAAGGCTTTATCAAATGTAAGTCATTTACATATGGCTGATACATAAAGTTATATAACATGGTTAGAAAAATCCCAGACACAGGATATGCAAGACCAAAGGACATGAAGACACAGTTCATGGAGAACAAACAGACATGAGAAAGTTCATCCTCACTAGTAATCAGATATGATTCACATAGGAGGTATCATTTTTTTTAGATATCAAATTAATATTTTCCAAAATGAATTCTCAGTGTTGGCAAAGGCAAAAACAAATACTTTCAAACGCTGGGACTAGAAATCACATCTTCCAGCTCCTACTTCATTGTTCTTTTCCTTAGTGTCAAATAGAGCGCTCTTGGAAAGTAATTTAGCACTTTGATTGAATTATCAATATATTTATACCATTTGACACAGACGTCATACTTCTAGGAATCTGTTCTAAGGAAATAATACCAAATACATGAAAAGCTATTTGTCTAAAATTAGCAGTCCCAGTGTCCAACAATAAGTAAATGGTTAAATAAACTGGATGTACCTATAAGACATAATATTATGCAATGTTTAAAAACAATTCTCCTAGGGCGCACCTGGGTGGTTCAGTCATTAAGTGTCTGCCTTTGGCTCAGGTCATGATCCCAGGGTCCTGGGATCAAGCCCCACCTCGGGCTCCCTGGCCAACAGGAAGCCTGCTTCTCCCTCTTCCACTCCCCCTGCTTGTGTTCCCTCTCTCGCTGTGTGCCTCTCTGTCAAATAAATAAAATAATTTTTAAAAAAGGAAAAAAAATTAGAAAAAAATAAAAACAATTCTCCGGGGGAGCCTGGGTGGCTCAGTCAGTTAGGTGTCTGCCTTCGGCTCGGGTCATGATCTCAGGGTCCTGGGATCAAGCCCCTCATTAAGCTACCTGCTCAGTGAGGAGCCTGTTTCTCCCTTTCCCTCTCTCTCGCAAATAAATACATAAAATATGAAAACAAAACAAAAAAACAATTCTTGGGGCACCTGGGTGGCTTAGTCGGTTAAGTGTCTGCCCTCCACTCAGGTCATGATCCCAGAGTCCTGGGATCAAGCCCCACATCAGGCTCCCTGCTCAGTGGGGAGCCTACTTCTCCTCCTCCCTCTGCAGCTCCCCCGCTTGTGCATGCGTGCTCTCTATCTCTCTGTCAAATAAATAAATAAATAAATCTTTAAAAAATACAAATACATACATACATACAATTCTCCCTGAACACTTTGGAAAAAAACTACTTTTTTTTTCTGTTTTTCTATTTTCTAGGTTTTGTTTTTCAGTTGTATGTATATATCTTATTACTTTTGTAACTTAAAGATTTTTTTTTTCTTTAATGGAAACTATTTTCAGAGGAAAAAGTTTGTATTCAATTGAAAGTTTGTATTCAGCTCTGGATACCACCAGTTAAAGGGACACTGGCAGACTGGAACTTGTCCAGGAAAGAGCAGCCATGATTAGAATACTTGAAACCATAGCAGTCAAAGAACAGCTGAAGGAACTGAAAATGTTTGGCCTGAAAAAAGGAAAGACTTGGGAGATGTAATGTTTACCTTCAACTATAGTAATAGTTTTTAAAAAGTGAACCAGATCTTTTAAACATTTACCAGATGCCAGTTACTGTGCTAAGTGCTTATGTGCATGATCCCATTTAATCCTTTCTGTATTTCTATAAAGTTAGGCAGATGAGAACATTGAAATTTAGAGGAATCACAGCCAATGACAGTACCAAAACTCAAATCTACCTATATCTGTCTCCAGTGTGCATGTTTCTCTGAAGACTGGTTCTGTACTACTGAAGAGTAGAGACTCAGGGCAGAAACCATGGAGCCGTATTTTTGACACACATAAGGCAGAACTTGGAATGATTAGGACTATTTCAAAGCAGCTCAGGACTTCTACAGAGGAAAAGTAAGCATCATCTCAGTAGTGTACTAGCAGAGTGCATATTAGAGGATTTAATTATGAATGTATCTTTCAGAGTTCCTTCTTATCCATCACTCTGTAAAATCCCTGGACCTGAATATAACTCGTTTTCCATCTAAATGTTTTGTGGTTTTCTTTTTTTGGGAGGGTGATCCGGAGATTCACCCAAAGAAATCCTCTTAACTATCAAGAGAAAGCATTTCTGCTCTGGCTTTAGTAACAGGAGAAAAGTAAATTATATATATATATATTTTGAAATTCTTTGAATTTCATTCACTATTATATATGTATCTATAGATATATAGATATATATATAGTCATTTTTGTGGAACTAGCAAAGAGTTATAACTAATAGAGGGAAATTATGGTGTTTTAAAGGATAG